TTCTCCTTTTTATTACTCCCAATGACAATATAAGTTGTCTTTCTTTTTCTAGTGTCTTGAAGACTCACACTGTTCTGGCCCTACTTATGATCTAATTCTGCTACAAGCTGTATTCATTAGAATCCTAATTTAGTTATATGGCTCATCAACTCTGATCGAGTTTGCATTTATTTGAACTTGGTTTCTTTGACAGTGCTTTGCAGATTTATCTACTGAGACCTTCCAGTTTTTTGCTGCTATTATATATTTCATTTATCACTTTGGTAACCTTATCAATATTAAAACCATTTAATTATTTATTAGCATCTTTATTACAACCTCATTTGGTCCTGCTGCTTTGTTTCCTCTTTATCATGACTGGGTCAGTCTTAGATTTTAACATAACATGCTTATATCTATTTTATATTTCTAACCTCTGTTGTGAAAGATCTGTATGATGCATTCAGTCCATATTCTGTAGTATCTTTTCTCTTTGATAACTCATTAGATTGTATGCATCTTGCTGAAAAGCACATTTTTCTGTCCTATTTTCCTTATCTTTTTTATGCATGCCTGCTATGTCTGTTCTGCACTTTTTAATCTGTGAACATTTCTCATTGAGTCGTTCCTCTTTTAATTGCTTGCATTTCTTTCTAATAATAAACTTCTTATATTCTGTGCTATTTCTTCGCATTATCTGTTGTCTCTCATTAGATTGAGAATTTAACCAGTCATCCACTATTTCTTTCTTATCTGTTTTTCTTGAGATGACTTATTTTTCTGTTGTCATTAGCATTTTATTAGGGTTCATTTGCTTTGTTTTTTATCAGTATTTACTAATCTGTGGTAAATGCATGTTGGTGCAGATGCAAAAGAAGCCTTAGATTGCATGCAGACATGTTTGTCAACACCAGTTACATCCGTGTTTTCCTTGATGGCAGCAGGACAGCTTGGCATGTCTACATATAGTCTCATGGCAATAAAAGCAATGGAAAAGTCAGCAGTCTGAAAGACATGGTGCCTTGTGAAGTCAATCCTGTGGGCATTTTGTTCCTGAAGTTGCTGTGATTTCCAGGGCGGTGTTATTTTTGTTTCCCCAACCTGTCTCTTTCCCACTGTGCCTGTTACCCCTGTAGTTGGTGGGAGAGCAATCAGTTAAGTGTTTCCCTCAACCTCATCAAACTTTTGATGTACATTACAACATAAATAATTCTTTAGTAAAGCACAAAGAAAAATGAATAGCAGATTGTGCTGCATTGGTCTTCCAGGTGAAAAGGCAGGTGCTAACTTTGAGTATCAGTATTCACAATTTGATCTCTATCATGACCTCTTACCATTTACTTTTCAAACAAAGAATAATATAAATCCTTCTCTTGGTTCTACCATTGGCACCTTTTGGCCTTTCAAGTGCTGGTTGTATTTGGTAACATTCTCTGAATTTGAAATTGAGATTGCCTTAGATTTTCTTTTTCTAGTTTTACTGTTATATTTAAATGAACATTTTTATGTCAAACTGAAAAATTTAGTTAAGTATTTCATTCATTTGAATACTTGATGTATCACACTGTAGATGGAAGTATTTTAAAAATAAATCTTTTTTTAATTATTTTTTTATAACTTTTAGTACTGTTAGATTAGTATTCCTTTATTCTGAACTTTATTTTCATTCTCTCATTAGTAAACAAAGACTAGCTTGAGGCGAGACTCAAACTCGCATCCCTTTTTCATTAGGAAGCTTGCCTTATAACTGTTCTAATATTAGATCTATGAGAGTCAATTGTTGCAGAAGCTCAAATATAAGCATATATCTTCTTTATTTTTCCCAAACATTCAGAGCCACCATATTTGATGCTATGTAAAAATACACAAATAGTATTAGTAATATTATCTTGAATTTTATTATCAATCATCACAGCTATTTAGGCCTTTATCCTTATTCATTTTGTTTAATTTCGTTTTTTTCCTTTTTGGGTCCATTGTGCAGTTATAACCATTTTTGTTATAAATTGTATTTTAATTAGAAAAAAATTCTGAAACTTTAACCTATATAAAACATTTTAAAAAGGAAGCACAAAAGTTGCATTCATCTTGTTGATTCAAAAAGACCAACATCACATACTTTAGCGTTGGCCAGCTTTCTGTTTACATGAATAATTTAAAGGAGCATTTGAAAGTTTTAAATGTTTTTCCCTATTTTGAATGATATTACATACCATTAAAATACTTAACTACTTCTTAGCTAATTCCATTCCGTGCTGTCAAGTATGAATGCTAAAAGCCTTTTGTAAATTGCCCACTGAAGAACTTGAATGCTCATGTCACCATTTAAAAATGTTATAATTTCAAGAATGGTAAATTCCCAAAACAGAATCTTTTGTCTTTTGTATCCTATTCTGAATTAATTTACAAGTAGTCAAAGAGCTGAATTTTCCTTGACTGTGTACAATAAGCAAACTAACAATGTTCTTAGACAAATTTTATTTTACTTTTTATTTTTATATGCTAAATTTGTTATTACAGATAACAGTTAAGTGTTAGATGTTAAACTTTTTTTACCTTCATGAATTAACACTGAATATTTTTTTCTATAAAGCCTTTCATATTTATATTCATTTCATGTTGTTCATTGGATTTTTAACAAAAATCTGAAAGGTTCAATTTTATTCTGATATCTGGATGATAAGACTTGAAAAGGAAAGAAAAAAAAAAAAAAAAGCCCTTTCCTTTCATAATGTAACTGCTTACTGCCAAATACAGGACACCATTTATGAATCCCAGATTATATACAGAAAAACTCTTCCTATTTAAATTATTGTAGGAAACACCTTGCTTTTGTTAAATGCAGTGTAAATAGGGCATCCACTTCAACACGCAAACAGTTCTTTGTGAAGGAAAACTCCTTTATCATCAACGTTCAATGGGTTTCTATTGTTGTAAGTATAAATCTGTTGTGAAATGATAAGACTGTTTATATATCTGATTCTTTCCTGCAAGGTCTTAGTGTCAATCTGGTTAATAGATGGACCAAGTTTAATGTGATTGTGTCTAAAGTAGGACCAAAAGCAGTGACCATTATTATTATTATTATTTTCATCATAATTGTGTATATGTGATAGTCTTTCAATGCATATTGACTCTACATAGCTTACATGAGATTGCAAAGCTATGTTATTCAGTGATTCTAAACAAGGCTCAAGGCCAAATATTTGACAGGCTTTAAATATACTTACCATAAAAGTATTTAACTACACATAACTTTATATTGATTCTGCCATAACATTATGAGAGTTGAAAGTAATAGAACAACAAAGAAAAAGGTATTTTTTATAGAAGTTCTTAAAGACTGAACTTTTTTTTTATATAAGTGTTTATAATTTCATAAGAAAGCATTTGTTTAAGGACATATTCATATTAGCTTCTTGTATTATGATATGAAGTATTTTGTGTTCTATCCTTCTTAAATTCCAATGCTGGACTGTGGAAATTTCACGAGTCTTGTGAGTTCTCCTTTAATCTGTAGGGTTTTTTTTTCCATAGTTGTTCTTTATAATTTATGGCTAGGTTAGGAAATAAAGTACTTTATATCATATTAGTGGGAAACATTTTGATAAAATAAATGATTTACTTAAAAAATATTAATTGTAATGATTGAAAAAAAAATGAAAAGTAGTTGACAATGCAGGTGCATTTTTTTGTATCTGAAAGTTAAGCAACAGATGATATAAACAGGGACAGTTTTCAGTTTTGTGCTTGTAAAATCTTCTATAATCAGTTTGTATAAATAACTAAATGCAGTGACTAGCTACTGGTAGCTTATCAGATCCACTTAATAATTGATTTTGTCATACCCTGCTGTCTGCTAAGAAAATGTGTATATTACTGAGAGAGTAATTTGCACAACATATCTTCAGTTTTCTCTGGTGGTCATAGTAACCTGCTATGTAATATTAACTATGATAAATGTGTTTGACTGCAAGGGCACCAAATTGTTTGTCTAACCTCTGCAATGCAGCCATGGTCTGAGCTTGCAAGATTTTGTAACTTGGCAATGAATAAACAGCTTCTTTACTAAATCATTTTGCATTTCTCTCTCTCTCAAAATAAAACCTCTGTGTTTATCTTTCAGTAGTTAAACTAAAGCTAGGGTTGGCTAACTTTTATGCTTTCTAACAAGAACATTGATTTAATTATATAATTTTGTTTTCTTCAGTGCTATGTTAATATCCGTTTTATGTGTAAAACCAAAAAAAAAAAATAAAGTATTTAAAAAAAAAAAAAATTTTACCTATAGCTGGACAGTGTCCAAACAGTATATTTTTATTGTCTGGAATTTTTCTCTTTTTATATGTTGCTATAATTGAAGTAGTAACATATATTCTAACAAGAGAATTTAAAATAGAGCTCTACAGGGAGGTGATGAAAAGTTCTTGGCTTACTTCCCAAAATCTGACCAAATAGCCAAATATCAGATTCAAAAAAAAAAAAAGAAATTGAATCTCTTCTTGATCAGACCAAGAGTTTTTTTTTGTTGTTTTTTTTTTGTTGTTTTGTTTTGTTTTTTGTTTTTTTTTAGCACCCTCTTGTAAATAAATATGAGCTTACAGTGACCTGACTATTAAAATAGAAATAATTGTTAACAATTTAGCAATTATTATAAAGGTTAATTGACAATATGATTTGAAACAGGAATGAGAGGAATTCTTTGTTTCACTGAACTTGTTCTTACAATATTCCAAAAGCAAAAAGAATTTTATAAATTAAAGACTAAACAAACTTTCTTGAAATGTTTTGATTGAACTTAAATAGAATTTATTTAGACATTTTCTGTATTTGGCTTTGAATTCTTTGGTAAAAATATTATGTTGCGTAGTATTTGTAAATATGCATTCATTGAATACCTTTATACATTTTATCATTTTAAATGTTAGATTTAAGCCTCTCAATAAATTGTACTCTAGTCTTATATACTCTATGATAATTATTTTGTTTTTCTGATTAAAATACAGCTTACAGCCACATCACATTAAAACACCAGTTCCCGTACAATCATCAAAGTTAAACAATGTCAAGCCTGGTCAGTAACTAGATGGGTGACCACTTGGAAATACCAGGTGCTGTATGCTTGGTTGTGCGAGTTGCGTAATGGATAATGGTTCAGAATTGTTAATCCAAGTTCTAATTCCCATTGGGCCTGTTTTATTCACTTATGTGTAAGTACCCTTGGGAAAGGTATGAATCTACTTTCTTCTCCCCACAACTATGGGTTAATGAGTAAGATTTGTATCACTAAACCATTATTTTCTCCCCTTCTTACAATATAAAAATATTTTCTGGCTTTAAATAACCTGCAAAAGGTTGATAAGCTATAGAAAACAAATAATCTGATTTAAAATATGATTTTATTCTCTGACAACAATAAAAAGGATACTTTCTTCTATTTTATATAGCACTTGATGATGATGATGATGAATCAAGACAGTTATGATGACCACTGTAAAAGTAACTCAAAAAATGATCACTTCTTTAGCATGTTAATCCTTAAACCAGTGAGTGCCAACATTATTTTTCTATGTGCCACATTCCTTCACTACCTAGGCTATCATGGCTCTCCAAAACTTTCTTTCCCTTGTGGCTTTTAGCACTTTTTCGCCCTTTGCTAAAGCTCCCGTCTCCTGTTCCACCATCTGTTCATACAAGATTGTCAGGTAAGCTGTTCCCTGCCTTCCACTATCTCTTTTGCCCTCAATATTCCCTGTGAGGGTTAAGTTTTCCAAACCCTTCTTTTTCATTATCGATTCAAGGAATACACACCATATTTGCCTGTTTATGAAGTGAAATCTCCCAAAAGTTATGTGATGATTTGATAATATTTTTTTGTTCAATGTTAATGGACAAAGATTGTATATTTATGACAGTTTTAAGAGAGACCAGTTGGATCCTCCTAACAAAATTCAAAATATAAACTCTGAAATATTACTTAAAAATAACCTGTTTAAGAGGCTTTGTTGTTTACTTATCAATTGAATAGTGGTATGACCTTTTGAACCAAGATTTGTAACCTGATCAATGAAACTTATAAACTGATAAATCATTTTTATTTACTGATTGATGAACTTATTTGTATTTGCACCAATCCTAGAATTCTTATTCTTTGACCATTTTTGTATTGTCTTTGATGTAAATTTTCCTTCTTATAAATACATATGGGCATTGAATCAATCTCTCAGAGTTAGTAATAAATAGCATACCTATTATAAAGTTTAGTATTTAAAACTTGGAATTGAATTCAAGTTGCAAACCGCTGGCACAGATATAATTTTTAATGACATTTCCAGGAAATCACATTGTTTCCCTATTGAATTTTTACAGTGTTCTCTTAGTCAAAATGTACATGGCAGAAATATCAGCTAACAAAAATATTTTTACATATTTCTATAAGGCTTTGATAAAATCTAGATGATTTAAATCTTTTTAAAAATTGTTGTGTGTTCATAATTTTGGGTTTGTTGTATCCATGATCAGGACATATGGTCTGCTAGACTAAGTCACTAACAAGTAACTCATAGTGAAACATCCATTATTAGGTCCAGGCAACAAGGAAGTCTTAAGGAAAATAGGAACTACAAGAAAATTTATGTTTACTATCAGAAAGAAACAATTGACATTTCTGGGACACATAGCAAGGAAAGAGTATCTTGAGAATTTGGTATTCACAGGACATTGAAGGCAAGATAAATAGTGGGGTAAACTGTGTAACTTACTTACTTGACTAGTTTATGTGAATGAATGACAGAGCAGGCACAAAAAAGTATGATGAAAGGTCAAAAGTTAATATGAGTACAAAAGACAGGAAATTGTGGAGAGCCTTGATTGCTCACATCCTGAGGAAACATGGCACAGGAAAAGAAGAAAGTAAATTGTTGAATAATATAAAAATAAACATGCTGTAACAAATGGGATTAATTTAATGTAGTGTTTTCCACATATATGCAAATAATATACACAATGCAATAAGTATCTCTATAATGCACTGGTTAGCAAACTAGTTTCACCAACTGTTTTTATTAGTATTCATATTCCCTACTGAGTGTTTTACCTTTGTTAAATATTTTTCCCTTTTTGCTTAGCTTAATGACTCTATATAAACATGTGTCAATAAAGTGAGTAATGATGTGGATAATACCAAAAATGATCCTAACCTTTTCCTGTATACCAATGATAGTTGTTCATTTAACCATACAGAATAGCTTAGCAATGTGTTAAATTTGGTGAATATTTTTTAAATTGTTTTTTTATTAATATCTAGTTGACTTTCCTCTTCTTTACATAACCTGAATGACAACTTGAAGTGTGTGTGTGTGTGTATATATATATATATATATATTCATTTCACTTCACTTCAAGCAAGGTGATAATGCTACTAAGACACAAGGGATTACTGGAAGTGAAAGAAAATGAGAATACTTTGGTAGGAAGAACTGGAAACCCAATCCTGAAGAGGAAGGAGTGTGAACCAAACAATAGGCAAACCTATCTACTCATATTGAGGGGGTGGGAGAAGAATATTAGTAAATAAAATTTCGAAGTGTAGTTGGAGATGTTAGATATATAGAGTTAAAATTAAGAACACGTGTGATTCAAGTACATGTAATCAGGTAGGGACAGTAATTAAGTTCCTTAATGGATTTAACTACTTATTTAGATAAGAATTATTACTTGTCTGTCATTAAATATTTGAACATTTTTGTTGATTATGCTTATGTCTTCAAAGGGCATAACAATTTTGGTAAAATTCCTACAAAGTTTACTGTAAAAATTTGTCTTTCTTTAATTTTTGCCTCTCTTGCTCCCATTCCGAAAAAAAAAAAACAACACGTATTTAACAATGTAAAGTTTAATACATGCTGTATTTTAACATGTACAGAGAAAGTTATTTGTTGTACAAATATGAAAGAACTTATAGGTTCAACTGCAACGCACACATTCCTCAGGTAGACATATTTAAAGACTTTCTTTTGATGCATAAATCAATTTATTTTTTTAATGGGTGTGTACATAACATTACCTCATTTTCTATATATATATATATATATATATATCTTTTGATAAAGTGATTCATTACATAACAATCAGATTATTTCACTTCACTTGATTGCTTCTAAATATGTGCATATATGCATCATATAAATATTTGAATCTTAAAGACTAGATTCAAAATAGCAGTTATGGTTAAAATTCTATGTGAAGTAAAAACAAAGTAGTAATATCTAGTTTTCTCTTATAAAACCTATACACTTGTGATAAACAGTGCTCAAGAAATAATCCTTATTCAATAATTAAAGATTAAAGTCTTACATACTGTATTCTATATCAAGTTGTTTAGGATTGGCTAAGCAAGAGCCAATCAGATTGTGCCAAGCACTAAAACCTATAGAGAGAAAAAAAAAGTCACACTAAAGAGACAGATTTATTTATTTTTACTCTTTGCATGACTAATAAGTTAACTGATCTTCTTACATTGAAGCTGAGTCTTAAAGGAAATTCAATCTCTGTATGGCTACAAGATATAAGAGCCTTTTCTTTGTTTCTCCCTCCTGTTTGTCCACACAAACTGTAATACAGGAGTGGAAGCTACACTGCCAACAAGCTGTAGATCTCATTGACAAAGTTCAGAAACTTGAGTTACAGTCCAAAAAACTATAATTTCTAGCAAAGACTAAAAGCAGAGAGAATCTTATCTCATGAAATGGAAGAGACCAGCAAGAAATCTGAGTGAATTATTCAAAGTAATGAAAATGATAGAGGTTATAACACAATGATTAAAGCTGTTTCAACCGCAAAGCAATCATTCATGAGGCTTAGGAGAGTGGATCTTGAGAGCCAATATTTAAAAAAAAATAATATAAGTTTCTGATAGAAAATGTTTATCAGGTCTTGCCTTGCAGGTGAAGTATAACAGTTAATGAACCAAGTCATTAAAAAAAATAGGATAATAATGTAAAACCATTATTTTTTTTTATTTAACCCCAAGCAAGGTGATAAAGCTACCAAGATGCTAGGAGTTATTGAGAATGAAAGAATTTGAGAAAAATCTTTATTAAGGAGAGCATAATTTAAGAAACAGGATTCAACAAGACAAAAGATGACAATTGACATTGCATTTAGATGTTTGAAGAAAAGCTAGAAGTTCCACAAGCAAAAAGTGTGGGAGAAGAAACTTTTAGCATAGAACTATGGTTATATCTATCAGTTTCAAATATAAAATAAGACCTAGCTACCAATCTAGTACTGTGCTTAAATTCATGAAGTCAAGATATCAAAGGATAAAGCTAATCGGTATAGTTTATCACAAAAGTCAGGTTCTTTTAACTGGAAGCATTAACCAGATAATTTGACCAACTCTTAAAGAAAGTCTATTTCAGGAAAGGTGTTGGGAAAGGTAGCTAATTTTGGGATTCCTTTAAGTAACATTTTGACATTATCATTAATGAAGAAGATCTCATCTATTCACCTAGTTTAAGCATACAGTCTGCTCTGGAGTCTCTGTTTCTCTCTTTTGGTATCTGTGGAGAGTTGTATTGGTAAACTCTGTTGAAAAGTTCTCTCTCTAACAACTCATTGAGGAAAAACTAGCCTGTAACTTTCAATACCTCAAAAATCAAGCTAGTAACATTTCATCACTGATCAAAGCTTGAGTTTTCTCCCGTCACAATGAACAGTTAAATTCTCAATAAGGCTCCATGCTTTATATGTCTATTGGGACTCAAGTTCACTCCAGACTTCAAGTGGAAGTCATATATACAATCCATTACTAAGTATGCTGGAAAAAATGGTTGGTTCCTTGTACTGCTCTAGAAAATACCTGACTCCTTCTGGCATTCTTTATCTTTACAAGAGTCATATCAGACCAAAAATGGAAGATTGCTGTCATATCTGGGCTTAAGTTGCTCAATCCCCACTTTCCTGTCTTGACAGAGTTCAAAATCATTTATGTGGTCTAATACTATTCTGTTGCTATTTCCATGGCACATATTTCACTAGTTCAGACCTTCGTGGCTAGGACTTGCCATGCAGTATCCATGGAGTTGAATCATCCACATTGCCTTCATATTCCATTTATAA